TGACCCCTGCAATGATTCCCGCCTGAGCGTTAATTGTAGTCTGCAAATGTGTGATTGCCATTGTGTTTGAATTTCTGTTGCATCCACTGTTTTTGTAAGACTCAGTTTTTATTAAACAGTAATACACAGATTAACACGTTTTACCAGGGACATGACAGTGAGCAGCACTTGCTGATGTGAGAATCTCACAGGTGTATGTAAATCTAGCTGTCAGTATGGAAAATATCCCTGGGGTGGAGTGCTAATTGCTCAGTTGGAGGAGAATGATTGCTCTAAGGAGCCGGTTCCTGACCCAGGTGGGGCCGCGAGAGAGGCTGGGAGCAGCCGGGCGTTCATGAGATCTGTGTCCCTGACCAGCCGGAGGACTCCACCAGGTTCCCCGTCAGTGGATCTGAGATGGATGGAATTGGAGCTGAGAATGAAGGAGTCAGAGGACCATAAGAGACAGGGAAGACATGAGGCAGAACAGCAGGAGAGACAGCGGCAGCATGAACTGGTGATGGCTGAGCTGAGAGGCTGAAGGACCCGTCCAGGGGTGAGTGGGGATGGACCCCGGGGTGCCAATTCCGCAGGGAACCTCGACACTAAATTGCTGCCCCAGGTTCAGGAGGGGAGAGATATAGATGCCTGTCTCAGGGCCTTTGGGAAGGCTGGCAATTGGAACCAGGCTGGCCCTGCAGAAAGGTTCCGGCGTCTAGTCCCCTTCCTGGACCCCAAGGCCATAGAGCTGTTTAGCCAGATGGGCGGGGTGGAAGACTGGCTCTCACTCCTGGTCCCTCCCAGCACATATGTCTGCATGGACTCTCCTGGGCTCAGGCCCCTCGGACCCCCAGTGGGAGCAGAAGGTGGTCAATGGGGAGACATTCATGGGGTGGCGAGATCCTGGGACAGAGAGAACTGTTGTCAGGCCCCGGGTGGTGCAGCCACAGAGGCTGAGGGGCTGTGTGACCTGGGTGAAGGTCCCCGGGATGAAGCCCCTCGCCCTGCCTATGGCCCGGATCCCTGTGCAGACGCAGGAAGGGTCGGGCTGGCTCGTCGTTGGGGTTCTCCAGGATATCGGCTGTGAGGTCCTGTTGGGGGGTGACTGTGTCTCTTTGGGACAGGATCCAGGCCCAGCTCCTGTAAAGGCCGAGGATTTTCATTTGAATCCAGGGAACCAATTGGCTGAGACTGAAGCAGTCAGTGAAAATGCGAATGACCTGGCTGGCAGGGGGGAGGAGCTGCTAGGCTCCGGATACCTGCCTACCTGTAACCAGAGCCCTGGGGCTGAGGGGGACAGAGAGATGCTCCCTGCCCCCCTGCACACCGGGGAGGCGGCTCACACTGGCTCTGATGCTGTGAGCAAAGCAGCGAGCTCCCTGCCTGCCCTCACTGGGACAGCAGGAGCAACACTGAGCCCAGGGGGATCGGAGACCCCACCTAAGTGTGGGCAGACACTGCCAGGGCGGGACAGCTGCCAACCAGGGCGGCCTTGTCCAGCGGTGCAAGAGGCCTCAGGAAAGGGGGAAGCAGCTAAAAGGGGGCTGCTCGTGAGAGAGACACCTGGGCAGAGGGTGGCCAAGGCCCAGAGGGGGGCTCTTCACCAGGAGAGTGTGAATCCAGCGCTCCTGTCTGGAGGGCTGTGACCGTAGGCAGCAAGAGAGAAATACAGGTCTGTCGCATCTTACGCGCATTTAACATGCGCGATTTCAGCTTTGCGCGGTTGGCAAAAACAAAACAAAAAACAAACAAAAAAGAGAAAAATAACAATTTTAATACTGTACCTGTAGTGCGGGCGATTCCGCCCGCCATTACACTCAATGAGTGTTTGACTATATGCGATTTTTGCTTTACGCGCTGACTCCCCTCTCCAGCTGCTGAATTCCAGACCCAGCTGCAGGAGGATCCCTCCTTAGAGAAGCTGAGGGACCTGGCTGGCCTCAGTGCGGCACAGACCCTGGGGAAGGCTGCAGGGACAGAGTCCTGTGGGAGAAGGGATTCCTGTACCGGGAATGGGCTCCCCCAGGGGAAGTGGAACTGTGGGGGATCTGGAGGCAGCTGGTGGTCCCCCAGAAGTACCGCCACAGGCTACTGTACCTGGCCCACGATGTCCCTCTCTCAGGACACCAGGGGATCCAGCGCACCAGGCAGAGGTTGCTACAGAACGTTTACTGGCCCGGAGTCTGCGATGCCGTCCAGCAGTACTGCAGGTCCTGTGACCTCTGCCAGAGGGTGGGGAAGGCCCGGGACAAGGGTAAAGCAGCCTTGAGACACCTGCCTGTCATAGAGGAGCCTTTTCAGAAGGTCCCTGGGAGGTCCTTACAGACCAGGGGTCCAATTTCTTGTCAACCCTGCTCCAGCGCTTGTGGGACAAGTGTGAGGTCCGGCACACCTGGGCCTCGGCATATCACCCTCAGTCCAACGGGCTGGTGGAGAGGTTTAATGAGACCCTGAAGATGATGCTGAAGACTTTCATGGACCAGCATCTGCAGGACGGGGACAAGTATTTACCCCTCCTGCTGTTCGCGTACAGGGAAGTGCCCCAGGAATCCATGGGGTTCTCTCCTTTGCAGTTGGAAGGGGATGCTGAATGCTCCGAGGTCAGACCCAGGAAGGTCGAAGCTGTGTAAGCTTCTTACCCTGGTGACAGTGCGCTCAGAGAGAGGAGGCGGCTCCCCCAGAGTCCTGACTGGCCTCATACGGAGTAGTTCCAGAGCATCGCCCGAGTAACTCCGTGACATACCCACACAATGTGTGTCTCTGTCACACACATACATACACACACACACACACACACACACACACACTGTCTCTCTCTCTCACACACACACACTTACACATTGACTTTCACACTCACCTCCCAACACATACTTATATTGTTGTTGTTGTTACTTGATATTTCTTTCAAAAGTGTGTTGTTTTAGTTTTTTGACTGGTCAATGCATTTCACAATTTTTATTTCTCTTGTACGCTTAAATTTAATACTTTGAGTAGTGAGTTCTAAAATGCCTACCCTGTCCTGCTGGAGTAATTATCCCTATGGTAACTTTAAAATATATATATATTATATCTAGGTTTTTTGTTTCTACTGGTGGCGCAGATCCGCACATCACCTCGATCTGGTCCACATAGCAAAATTCATTCCGCACATGGATGAAAAATTGAGAGAGAACACTGGACACCTCCTGCACCCATTTACAAGTCGCTGAATCCAGTGCAGGCTCAAGGCATCAAGTTCATTCCTGAGTGAGTGAGCCAGTAGAAATGCACCCCAGTGGCGCTGGCTCTGAGTGAAGGTGTCCAAGGTGTGTTTTCAGATTCCTGTATCCCTCATAGCCAAAAAGGGTCCAGGTCCTCATGCTTCTTCCACAGACCTTTTAAGAGAAAGAACCGCCGTTCCTTTCTGTCCATTGCACTACAAATCTTGCTCAGGTCCCTCGTTCTTCATCCTGATCACAGGAAGTTCCCTAACAACCAGACTGCCCCGCTCCAGTTCCACCCCAAGTGCTGATGCTGACACCTCTGTCCTTGCCTCGTCCTGACCCTGTCTCCCCCTTTTCGGAATTTGCCTCCCTTCCTCCCCAGCATTGAGTTTAAGCTTTGCACCCAACCCCTCCCCCCCCACCGCCCTGCAAAAGTGCCATGTAACTGCCCCACACTGGGCTCTTGTTTCTTGTCTTCACACCCCACCCTCCAATCCATGATGCCAACCTCAGGTCCCCCAGTCACCTGTGTTCACACAAACATCTTCATGCTTTCTCCACACTGACCCTTTGGGTGGAACGCCCGTCCCACAGCTGAACCACAAGAGTCCACCACCCCCTCCTCATTCAAGTCCCTCCCGGAGACTCACTTCTGCTGTGACACCGACATGAACTCCGACAGCTCAGACAGCCATTAGCAAAGAAAACGAAAGAACAAACTCCGCCCCCCCTTCATGCCATGCCCCTGTCCACGCTGAGTGCTGCATACAGCAGTGCTTCCAATGGTCATTCCCCCGCCCCACCTACTGTTGTTTTAGCCTCTTGCAGCATCATGTCCACCTCAGCATGTCCTCTCCTCAGGGCAGGGCTAGTTGGTCTGATTTCAGGGGTAGCAAGTGCATCTCTGGACAACCTTTCTCTGAGCACCCCATTGTCTCTTGTTTTGGAAGGGGAAGGCGGGGGATTGGGTGGGAAAAATAAGCAGTAGTGAATTTACGCTTTTTTGTAGAAAAAGTGTATTTTTGTGAAAATAGATTTTATTATAATAAATTTTGATTTTAAATACAAACATACTGTATCACCAACACCCATGGCTGAGTGTCATTCAAAGACCAAACATAACTGCCTTGCTCAAAACAAATACCCACCTGAAACATGCAAAGGAACGAACGCTGCCATAAAAGGATAGAACCATGTATTACAAAACTCTCCTTGGCCGTAGAAAGGGATGCATTCTCAATGCAAGGAACATGGTGTCTCTTATGAAAATAGCTGCAAACTCGCTGGCGGGGTTTTGCTCCCAGTTCCGCTCTCCAGACACACACACGGTCAGGATCACACAAACATCGAAACAATCCAGTCAATAGTTAAATAAGCAGACAAGTCAAATAAGGCGGGATCCCCGGCGGACTGCAATTGCCATGCACCAACTGCAAACGCCAGGAACGTTACTCCAGCAGACTCCTGCTAACTCTGCCGGCAGCCCTGCGGAGATGCAAAGCTATTGAATGTATCCCCTACTGCAAAATGCTTTAGGGCATTGACTCCAGGGCTGTTGGAACCGGGGGGTGGGGGGGGACTAGTGCCCTCACAATGGAAACACTGTGGTGGTGCCACCCCGTGTAAACTTGTGCATGCCGAGGGGTGGGGGGCAAAGGAGGCTGAGGTGAGAGTGGGACCCAGAGGGGCTGGAATGGGCCTGGAAGCCATCCCAGCCTGTACATGGCTGACCCTCCCCTTCCCTGCCAAGTCTCAGTACCACCCCTCACTCCCCCTCCTATCACTCTGTCCCCCCCCATTTTCCGGAAGCTTCTGCCCTCCCCCCAATCTACTCCTTCCTTCTTGGTGAACTGTCGCAGTGCAGCACGACTGAGACAGGCAGGAGGCTCCTAGGCACAGCTGCATATTTACAGGTTTACAGTACAAATGTCTAACTCATCAGCCCAGAGGCAGCAAAAGGGGTCGACAGGGAGAGAATCAAGTGCAAACCCTCATTTCAGGGAGTGGAGGAGTCGCCAACAGCCTCATCTGAACGGAAGAGAGAAATGCCAGGGCACACTAGTCAACGGGGTCTCAGTCTTACAACAAAGGAGTCGGGCCGGTTAGCAAAATTACAGCCAGAATATCTTCTTTGACATTAAAATATTTACAAGGAGTTGGTGCTGTTGAGAGCTGGTTGGATCTGGGCACACTACTGCGAAGTACCTGCACCCGAGCGCCCAGGCCCCTTTCCCAGGTACCTGCACCCGAGCTCCCAGGCCCCTTTCCCAGGTACCTGCACCCGAGCGCCTAGGCCCCTTTCCCAGGTACCTGCACCCGAGCTCCCAGGCCCCTTTCCCAGGTACCTGCACCCGAGCACCTAGGCCCCTTTCCCAGGTACCTGCACCCGAGCTCCTAGGCCCCTTTCCCAGGTACCTGCACCCGAGCGCCCAGGCCCCTTTCCCAGGTACCTGCACCCGAGCTCCCAGGCCCCTTTCCCAGGTACCTTCACTTGAGCTCCCAGGCCCCTTTCCCAGGTACCTGCACCCGAGCTCCCAGGCCCCTTTCAGCACTGCCCCAGCTGCAGGAGCACTACCTCTGCCCAGACACTCGCTACACTGAGTGTGCAGTCCCACAGCGGCAGGGCTCTATGTGAAGATGAGGTGAAGGAGGCCTAGGGCTGGAGCCATTCCAAGTCTTTAATAATCAAAGTTCACTTTTCCTTATTCCAATACTCTGCGGTGGTCTGTTTGCTGCAGAGGGCTTGTCAGAAATCTCCCTGCCTGGGCCTCCAGACAGGCTTACGGAGATCAGCAACATCCTTTTCTAGTTCTTCTTACTGGGCCCTAGTTTCTTTAAGAGCTTTTTCCCCTTGCAGAAGAAGCTTCTTTTCTTTTTACTCTGAGTGGACAAGTCACTTGATTCAAGAGTCTCCAGTGATGCTTGGTCTGGACTCGGGTCACAAATGAGAGTGCAGGAAGGTGGCACTTCAGGAATGTTAGGCAAGGGGTCCCTCTGTTCACCAGGCCCATCTGAATTCAGCTAAGCAGGAAAAGAGTGAACAAAAGAGAGAGAAGAGTTTAGAGCCCAGCAGTGACACCATTGCCACAGAAAGGCCGTACAATGAGAGAAAACCCTGACAGCCCATGTATAGAGCTGGTCATCTCTTCCGGCAAAGGCCACCTCCCCAGTAAATTCAGCCAGGCCATTTCAAGTGGCTTTAAAATGCCCCCCAGCACCGACCAAGACCATGCATGGGATCAGGTTTTGCACAGCCCTTGGTAAATTCTGGGCTACACACTGAGAGTTGGAGACAATGCAGCCATCTGCCTTTGGGTGACAAGAACAGAGGGTTGTGGGTGGCGGTGGTGGGAAGCAAGCCTTCAAGGCTGTGCCCTAAAGATACCAGAGTAGGCTGCTTGAGGGGGTCAGCCTGTGGGCTACCCACTAAATATTTGGGCCACAGGGTGTGCCACTAGGCCTCTCCTCAGACTGGGGAGCCCAGGGCCAGATGGGGAGGGATGTATGTGGGGCCTGTGCAGGGGCAAACTGCTTGGCCAAGCATGTGCGACAGCTAGAACTCTCCCATAACAGCAGCCGCTGGGCCAAACCTGAGCTCTGAGCCTTTTCAGGGTCCCTCAGCACCAATCACAGCTCAACCATGGCCAATAGTAACTATGGGAAGCAGCGTACGACGTGATGGGCAGGGAGGAGTTAATCATGGACCTGGACATAGAGGGGATCCTTGGAGCAAGTGACCATAAAGCAACTGAGTTTCCAGCAGTAAGGAAGGGACAATCAACAACAATCACAAAGAGGTGCCCAACTTCAGCCAAGCACATCGGGTGTGTAGCACACTGCACAATGGGGCTCGGCCTTCTGGGCATTACTGCAATGTACAGAATCACAGCAAACATTGGGGGCAATCCTGGTTCCTGGAGCCTCTCCCCTAAGAACGAGTAAGGCCCTTCACAGGCCGAGATTTCCCCCCCCCCCCCTTCAAGCAGGAAACTCCAGTCCTTCATGCAAAGAGAAATTATGGAGGTAACATCTCAAAAGCGCTTCCATGTCTTGGCAGCCGGTCTCACGGTGAGTCATGGACTCCAAAACCCGTACGGGGCTTTTGACAATGGGATGTGGGCTCCTAAGTCACTCTGGCCTAGGGTCACAAAAGTACAAAGTCCCAGATTTAGGGTCCAGTGTGATTTGCAAAACTCCCATTGACCCTGTATGTGCCTAAACTCACTTGGCGCCTCTGTTTCTGAAGTAAAACGTTCCCTCAGTGCCTAGGTTTCTGCCTCTCAGCATACACGCTGCTGCCTGCCACTTGTATTCGGCTGCCTAAATTACATGCGGAACTCAGTGTGTGCTTAGAGGCTGCCTAGCAGATCAGCCCCTCAGGGGAGATCACACAAACAGTGGGATGGGGCAACGGGAGGCCCCCACAGATATTAGCCTAGTGGTTCAGCTACTCATCTGGGATGCGGAAGACCTCCAGTTCAAGTCCCCACCCTCCACCTGATGAGGAGGGATTTGAATCAGAATCTGCCACCTCTCACACGAGTGCTCTAACCACTGGGCTACGGGATACTCTGATGGGGGGAGGGGTGGCCTCCCTCCCTCTCTCCTGTTGAAACGGTTTCACTCTGGCTCTATCATTAAAGAGCAACTGGAGCAGTGGACCTGGACCCTGGTCTCCCACATCCCGAGGGAGTGCACTGACCACAAGGCTACAGAGTCAGTCTCATGCTGTGCCTGCTCTCTCTCGCCCAGAGGAGTCTAATGATTTAATTCACAGTGGAACAGCTTCAACAGAAGTGGCTGTGGGGCCCCCACATCAGAATATCCCATAGTTTAGAGTTAGATCACTTCCCTCAGTGGTAACAGAGCCCAGTTTAAATCCCTTCTCCTTCTCAGGGGCTCTCCCAAATCCCAGGGGGAGTAGCTGAACCACTGGGCTAAACATTATGAGAGGTCGTCCTTTCCCTGCCCCCACCAAGCTTCCTGCAAAAATCACCTTAGGTGCTTAACTCCAAAGTGGGGTCCCAGCTGAGAATCACTAGCAGAGACAGGTGCCTGTCTCCAGGAGAGGGAGAGGCACCGCGCACACCCCTCTCACAGCATCTCCCACTGGCTAGCGTAGGCAGTTCCCTGCCTAGCATGCTGGCTTCTGTGAAGCGCGGTCTGAGTATGTCTACACAGCAACACAAGCCCAGCGGCAATGGGACCTGAGTTAGCAGACCTGGCTTTCAGAGCCCAGAGCTCAAGTGGCTACACTGATTGCCAACCCTAGGTCTTTAACCTGGACGTGAACTCGGGGCTCTGGCATCCACACTGCAACATGCAGCTCTGAGTCCATCCAACGGCATTCCAGACTTCCTAGCACCCGCCCAAAATGTGGCCGCTCTAGACCTTTGTTGATGGTACCCTGAAGGGAAAACTTGACAGTCTACCCTGCACATGACAGGAAATTTGAACTGCCCGCCAATACATTCTGCCCAACTGTCTGTGCAGTCCCAGCACCATGGAGGGGGTGCTGTTTGAAGAACTTTTCTCACTTGCACTTTCACTCCTGTTTCAGGAAACATGCACAGCTTCGGTGAGACACTGGTGGATATTTCAGTGGTGTTTTCTGACCCACTGAAGGCACCTGACAGAGTAAATGATGGAGGAGAAGGACACAGACATGGAAGTTTCAAAGTGGCTGATGCTGCTTATAACACTCAGTACATCCACTGATATCCCTTTTATAGACTGGCACTTCTGGAGCAGGGCCACAAGGACAGACTGGTGGGACCACATTGTCTTGCAGACTTGGGATGACCAGTAGTGGGTCCAGAACTTCTGCATGAAGGAAGCTACTTTTCTAGTGTTCTGTGAGCAGCTTGCCCCGGCTCTCCAGTGTGAAGACACATACATGAGGGCGGCCAAGGTGGTCCAGAAGCAGGTTGCTATAACCATCTGGAAGCTGGTTACCCCAGACTACTACAGGTCCATTGCAAACCAGTTTGGGGTTGGAAAGTCGACTGTGGGTAAAGATATCTGAGGCAATCAGATGTGTGGTTTACCCCAAGGTGGCGGGCATTAAAGATATTCCTGAAGTAGTTGCTGCCTTTGAGAAAATGGGGTTTCCAAACTGTGCTGGGGCTGTTAATGGGACTCGTGTGTTCATAGTTTGCCCTCTTCAAGGAGCACACGAGCACATAAACCGCAAAGGGTTCTACTCCATTGTTATACAGGCCTTGCTGGACCACAGAGGGCAAGTTATGAGTGTCACCACAGGTTGCACTGGGACAGGTCATGATGCCAGGGTTTTTCGCCGATCGGGAGTCTACATTCATGGACAGGCTGGGACACTATTCCCACCAAATGACATTGTCATGAACGGAGTTACTGTCCCCATCGGTATTCTGGGGGACCCCGTGTACCCACTTTTGCCTTGGCTTATGAATCCATACTCTGATCTCAGAGGCCCTGGCAAAAGACGGTTTAATTACACTGTCAGCAGGTGTGGAATGGTTGCTGAATGTGCATTTGGCAGACTGAAATCCCATTGGAGATGTCTACAGACCCGTGTCATCAATGCTGTGTGCATTACAGAGGCTTCTGTGCCCTTCACAACCCTTGTGAAGCCAGAGGGGAGCCAGTTCCCCAGAATGGGCCTAGGACAGCGAGGGGCTGAATCGGGATGCTCAGCCACCAAGTGCAGCTCCCACAGCTGGTGCTGGATGTACTGGGCACCAGAACGCAGGGATGCTTTGTGCTCCCACATCGTGGGCTTGCCTGGCCCAACGGAAGAGGGGGAATGGTACCTGTATGATTGTTCTTGTGTGTGTGTGGGGTGGAAGATTCATTGCTTGTGGAGGGTTTCAGAGCTGGGGGCGGGGGTTTGACTGCCATGCAATGTACTTATGAATGACCTCACTGAATATCAAATGGGGGTAGGGGTGGGGGGTTGATACACAGTGTGGGTTGATGTAAGGCAGCGTTTTTCAAAGTTCGGGTCATGACCCAGTACTGGGTTGCAGCATGTCAGGCACTGGGTTGCTCTGGTCAGCACCACCGACTGGGATGTTAAAAGTCCCGTTGGCGGTGCTGCCCAACTAAGGCAGGCTAGTGCTGACCTGTTCCGACACTGCGCTGCGTCCCGGAAGCGGCCAGTAGGTCTGGCTCCTAGGCAGGGGGGCCACAGGGTTCCGTGCCCCAAGCACCGGCTCTGCACTCCCATTGGCTGGGAGTTGCGCGGAGCCACTTGCACGCCTCCGCCTAGGAGCCGGACCTGCTGCTGGACGCTTCAGGCGCAGAGCAGTCCGCGGTGCCAGGACAGACAGGAAGTCACCCTCTGCACCCCGGCTGCACTGCTGACTGCATGAACAAATGCAAACGGTGAAACCATGTTCAAGACAGAATCCCCCTACCATTGCATATCCCCTGGCTCTCCATACCCCCTTCCCTTCCTTCCACATGTGCTGCACACTTGGCGTGGGGAAGGAGTGGGAGAGGCATCCACGGGCAATAGGGAGGACTGCATGTGCCACAGTTGCCCTGGCCTGCCGCTCATTGGGCCCAATTGCATGGGCCACCCAGCCATGGCGTTGTCCAAGTTGTTTCTAGACTGCTGCATGGGGAACCGCCGAGGGGACTCAGGCCTTGGTGTGGGGGATGAAGCAGGAGCCTGTTGGCGATAGCAGCCGTTCTTTCTGCTGAGCTCCGTCCTCCTCCCTTAGCCGCCGTTTCTCGTCCAGGAACTACAAAGAAAGGGCCTGCTCCTAAGCTGCAAACCTGTCCTCAAAGGCAGCCTGAGCCTTTCCCCTTGCCTCTCGCCACGCCTTTCCTCTAGCCGCAAGTCCCTCTGCCCTTGGTTCTGGACCTGCTTGTGGGCCCTGTCCAGAACTTCAGCCATCAGTTGATCACGGAAACACTCCCTCTTGGAACGGTCTGTGGAGGTACGTTGGTCCAGGCTTCTGCTGCACTGTGGGTGAGCTGTGGAGGTGCTGGAGCCAGTAGGGGGCGAGGGGCCTGGCAGAGGACCAGACACCGAG